ATCATCATCATCATCATCATGATCATCATTTTCTGATGGCTGGATGATGACTTCATTTGATAACCAAAACTGAAATGGCTTTGTCTTCCTCTTCCTGACCGACTCCTCGGCCCTCTGAGTTTGTGTTGTGGGAAACAGGAACAGGACCAGTAGAAAACCTGTTTAGCTGAAGCTAATATGCTGGAACCAGCAGTGTGCCGTCTATCTGTTCAAAGTACGCATTGCCTGCATCTTTAACTCTCATGCAGAAATAAAGAAAATACTAGAATTACTGAAGTAATATTTTTCACGACTATATCAGTTCTGTAATACTGTCGTTTCCTGGGGTGAAAAAATAATAACGGCTGTGTCATTGCTGAATGCCCTCTGTGTAACACCCGTAGTTGCATTTGGTTGCCTGGGCAACAGTACACCATGCGCCTGTGTTGCGCTCTGGCTGGTGGCGCGACTGGCGCAGTGAATCGGCTGGAAAGAGCAGCATTAAGAGCAGCAGGAAACAGGAAGCAGAAACAAGAGTTAGTCGTGCATGAAATTTTTACGGAAGATAAAAATGGAAAGTTTACTTAAAAAAACGTTGCCGCATCCATCTTAGTAAAGGAGATGGTGTGAGTAAGAAAGAAATAAAAAAAAATTGGCCACAAAAAAATAAGGAAATGATGTTTGGCGATGCTTTTTGTGTAAGGTCATGTAAAAGCATAACTGGCTTACAGAATTACTCCTCTGAAGTTGAACTAACAGCATCGATGACCACAATCCCCCACTCCAAGACAACAGTCAAAAGATCTGTTTCGGTTTTGAAGCAAATGAAAACACTCAAAGGAAACTCAAAGGCTGGCGAGTGCTTGTCAGGTTTAGCCCCAATGTCAATTGAGAAGTTATCTGCTCCCCTAGCCCAATTTCTAGTTTAGTTACAGTGGGGTTCCTGTATAAAATGGACAACAGAACTGCTGCAAGCAAATTCTTAATATTTTATAGCACGTAACTCATTGTTCTTACTGTATGCAGTAATTGCATATCTCAGTGAAAAAGTCACAGCACACCACTATCTGGAGACGTTGTGAGGATATGGATTACAGCAGACTGCTATAGGCCTTATCTATGACTAACACATTCACCTCAGCTACACTCATCAGAAGGTTAAGCAAAAACTGGACATTACACAATTACAATTACGATAGTTTCTTATACATGTAGGAAAATCCGAGATTCAAGGAGCATTAGTTTTGTAAGTAAGGTAGCAGTATAATGCAGTAGGCTGTGTTGAGTATTTTTTTCTTATGCATATGTAATTCACAATAGTGAACTGTGAAGAGAAATGGAAATCTGAAATACAATTTAAAAGCAGACTGCGGTTATTGGGTACTACAGTTAGACTAATACTTTATGCCTAAAATCTGTATAAAGATGCATCAAAAAAGTGTCTTCTTCTGTCAGAACATGCAGTCACTTCATTTGTCAGGATGAAACAAAGTGCAAGAGGATGTGACTACAAAGTTTTTCACTACAGCATGTTGTATGAACATGCTAGAATCAACCACAAAATTACGGAGCCACCAGCAAAAGACAAGGAATGCAAGTTGTGCAGTGTTGGAATTATACAACAACACATACAATCTTTGTCCACAGACAAGCAAATCAAGCATCTCTCCCCCAATATATAAAATGTACAAATCTTACCAAGCATGTGATTCGCAACATGCACCTGAATGTCCCATTCGCTGTAGAAAATCATCTGACACTTTATGCACTGGTATGTCTTCTTCTAGTTTGGGAAAAACAAAAGCACACAAAAACATGTTTTTCAGTATCATCATTTATATTCATCATCATCTTCAGTAAAACAAACAGGCTTTGTGTTTGCATTTTAATAATTAGATAACTGTAAGTGATTAATGAGCTACAGTTAGACGTCATTCACAATCAGCACAAACAGCAATGACACAATCATTTACAACTAGCACAACAAGCAATGTACAGTATTGTATGGCGCAGGTTAAACTAAACTTGTAGTGGCAAAGGTGTTCCCATTGTTCTCTTGTTGTTTAAACAAATGACAACTGCTTCATGACAGGAGTCTTTAGAAAGTTGAGGTTCTCAGTAGGGCACTGATTCTATTGCAAAAATGAAAAAGCATGTCAAAAACTCAAAAAGATCTGGGTGTGAAATATATCGACATACTGTGTAGTGATATTATGAAAAACACAATCAGCCTCGAAGACCCGGTGAACAACATTGCAGAACAACATTGGTTATATTGTTGGTAACTATTAGCAAGCAAAATTCTGTTATGTTTCAAGCAGTGTTCGGCAGCTTCCTAACCGGCTACAGCCTGTACCCGCAAGTAATTAAAATGCAAACTCTCTGGAGTTTTCAGTGCAGAAAATTGAACAAGATTTTACATTAGATAGCACTCCGTCTGGCAGTGGTAGAAATCTGCTGCAAGGCATTTGAATCTAGACCTTTTTGACCTACCGAACACAAATGCCTTGCTGCTGGCTTCCTTACCTGGCCATACGGATGACACTGTGAAAGAAATGGGAGGATATCGTGCTGCTGTTTTGGAAGTGCCTCTGAGACCAACATTTCTTTTTTCAACAAGGGACCATTTCCCTCTTCTTCTGCCTGAATAGTGTCTAGCTGTGCCCTGCAATTCGTGTGATGTTTTTTCAGAGCCTGGAGCTGTGCATTCTCAGCTGAGATGCAATCTGAACAATGCAAACCTCACTAAACTAACAAAAGTATAACTGAACAAATAAACTGGGCTGCTTTAAGATGCATATAGCTTCAATTAAAAACTGTAAGCTGTTTTTTAAAAAACTCTTCAACACATTTAAAATTAGTGAAGCAGGCTATGTACTACTACAGCTACTAATTGTATGTTTAATATTGCACAGCATTCATGTTTTTTTTCTGTGCATTTGTGACTGAGTTGTATATACAAATGAAAGGGTGTAATGTTGACAACACTGGATAGCCAGTATTTTTCCTTACACACACCTTCTTAATGTCTGTATTCTCTACACTGTTAATTTTACATGTATTTATGTTCATAAGCACAGTAATCTATTTAGTTGATATAGGGCTTTTCACCTTGAAAGATCCCAGAACACTTCACAAATAGGAGTGGACCCACTTGATCCCATTCTGAAGTGCATCAGAGTCACAGGGGTGATACCGCAGCCATCATGCACCAGCAGCCCATACACTCCAGCTGAGGTGGCAAAGTGAGAAACTGCCTCACAAGGGGGAACATTAGGGACGCCAAGCTGTGTAACTCCAAAGTGGAACTTAGCCAGAACACTGGGATTGGTCCCTACTTTTGAGAACAGAGTTTTTATTCACCAAGTCGTCAATACTACTTGATTTAACATCTCATCTAAAGGATAACACAGTGTCCCTGGTCTACATACTGTACTAGGCTACTGAGTTCTACCAGTTATTTGTCTAGCCACAGTTATGCTTTGGCTGTTTGAATAAACTGTCTATTCATTCCTAATCAGAATCAAGAAGAGCAATGTGTTGATAATTTTGTCTTGAAACAAAATGCTCAATTTTGATACTTTCTTTAACCTTTAAGGTAAAGGACTTTTCTGTGAGATGCCCCCTCAGAAACAGGTATGATGTGACTCTTTTCCTTTGAAAAAAGTCACTAGCAATAATGATCTAGTACTACGAGATGAGCACCTGTAGGAAACATTATACTGTACAGTACTTCAACATCCATCCAATCATTGATTTGGTTTTTCACAATACATTAAGTGCATTTTTAAAATATATGTATTTATGAAAAATGGGTGGCACAGTGGATAGCGGATCGAATCTGGGATTTGTGTAGAATTTACTTTCGCACAGTGTTTTCATTGGTTTTCTCCTCAGAGAGTCCAAAGACATGCCGTCAAGGTTAATCGGTGCATTTAATTTGCCCTCCTTAAGCATGAGGTTCTTCTTTATCCAGCCATGTTGTTGGATATGATACTCGGGCTTCTTTCAAGAAACAGTTGGATGAGATCCTTGGATTAAAAACTAACTAGCGAATGTTTACTCTTTGTACTGTAACTGCCCTCGTGTTCATGTGTGATGGGAGCCTGCCATGGGCTGGCACTCCCACTCTCCACAACCCTTTTGAGGTAAAGGGGTTACTAAAAATGCATGGATGTATTTTAGCAGAGTTATTTATTTTGACAGCAGGCTTCTCTGCATTTTCAAAAAAAAATAAAGAAGGGGAACATTCTTTGACTTAAAAGCCAATACAGTATGCCCTGGAGGTCTTTGGGGCAGAGCTATGGAACTATGGCTAAGGATCTGTTCCTGTAGCTGGAAGGCTGCCGATTCGTTTCCCGTGGCCGGCAGAGGAATCCTACTCCGTTGGGCCCCTGAGCAAGGCCCTCAACCCCAACTGCTCCAGGGGCGCTGTATAAATGGCTGACCCTGCGCTCTGACCCCAAGCTTCACTCTCCCCATCTCTGTGCCTGTGTGTCTCATGGAGAGCAAGCTGGGGTATGAGAAAAGACAAATGCCTAATGCAAGAAATTGTATATGACTAATAAAGTGATCTATCTTATCTTGTTGAAACATACTGACACTTGGCCTCATACAGAACGTTCTCTGAACTACTGCTACTTGGTGGATCAGCTGTACTTGCAAGCTCAGGACGGGAGCGCACAGCACTAACAGGCTTCCCTGTGACATCACCAAGAATGGAGTGTGAAACCCGAGTCTCGCTTTCCCCAGCCTCTACTATTAAGCGCTAACAGTACTGCGCATTTAAACCTCTCTGATCCGGATCACATGGACCCACTTCAGTTGTATCCGACACACACGGTACTGATCCTTAAAAGGATAAATGTTAACATTTACTTGAAACATTGTAATTTATTTGTTTTAGACAACATTCACTTATTCCCCATACACATGGGCACTGCTAAACATACCTGCACTGAAGGGAGAAATCGCACGTGTTATGTTTGCGATCTTTCATAATATTGCTCATTAAAACACTTACAAAAGCAAACTAATGATTTTTTGGAGTTCTTGAGACAGCAAAGTCAAACACGTCTCATTATCAGACTGAACTAAATGTTTGAGTGGGTTAAAAATGAAAAGAAAGTTCAACATATAAAGAAAATAGTTTGTTCGGATTTAGTACCTGCCAAATTGAACATAGCTCTGTAGATTAATACATAACACAGTAAAAGCTCTACTCTGCAGCCTTGTATTAAGCAGAACTACTGTACTACTCAGCATTTTCTCCAGCTGCCACTACCACACCATCCTTCACCGCCCAGGAAATCTCTGTCTCTATCCAGCTCACAGCTCTGTCGCTGCTGTGGGTCTGAAGCTCAGCTACTGCAAACATCCGCCACAGTGCAGACATAGTCATCCTTGCCCAGTTTCTCCTTCATCAACAGGCTTCAATATTACTGAGCACAGTAATATTCCCCTGACTTCTAGAAGGGTCATGTTCCACAAAAACATAGATAAGCCAAAACGTACACAAGAGTCGAAACGAACTCTTACACAATATGTTCATTCTTAAAGCTGGTAGCGTTATTATTTCTGAACTGTATAATACAACATTACACTATGATAATATTATTAAAGGTACTGTACTTTAATAAAACTGTAATTTAAGCAAAGGGCATTGTAAAAAACTATGCACTGTAACACTTCACTTTATAAATTATCTTAATCCCAGGTGTTGACTTGTTCAAGTGTTGACTTGAACACTTTTCAGTCGTGATTGAAAGAGTATCACTGCAAGCACACTGCGCAAAGGAGTCCAGACAATATACGCGCAAGAGGCAATGTGGAGAAGGTCACCTGCAACTTTTTAAATAAAGTCTGGAAGTATGTATTGTATGTGGTAACATACTTCAATGATGGCTTTGTGCATATACACCACTACAGCACATTGCTTATAATTGACTGTGCATTACAATAAAATACATTACAGGCTAAACGAATGCTTCTGGGGTTTGGGGTGTGAAATAAAATGCTTATTTATTGCTCTGCATTACTGTAATAAAGGGAAGCCCCCAAACAAACAACACATCACCTAAATTATTTTCTCAGCTAGTCTCTAAGCCCTGTTTAAGTTTGAAAAAAAAACCTACTTAAAAAGGTTATAGGCTTAAACCAGGTTACAGGTATACTTGCATTCCATGATGCTTTATGAGAAATAAATGCAAATTTACAGCAGACATTTGATTTCTAAGAAGGGACTTTATTATTAACTAAAGTGTTTTTCACTTTTGCAGTCCTGGTCATAGATAGTGAGCTCATATAGATATAAAATTGCTCTTTATATTTTCATTATATTATGGTATATATTTATCTTACGAATCTAAAGTATTTAAATTACAAAGAGGTTTCTGTAAACCTTACTGAAAAAGGTGCAGCATTTTCTCGACTCATTGGAAGGGAAAGGGAAGGAAACGTTTCCTTTTTTTTCTTTGGAGTCACAAGCTTAAGCTACTTATTAAAGTTCTAAATCTAACTCAAAACCGCCGAAAAATAGAACAAATTAATAAATACAGTACATAATATAAACTGGAAATGTATTGCACAACTGTCAACTATATTTCAAAACCCAAAAAATAAAAAAAACTAGCACACAAAATTGTGTTGGTACTCACTTTGTAAGCTGAGATATTTATGCTTTTATACCATAACAAATGATTATTTCTGCTTTAAAAAACTTTGAATATGCTTCTCAAAATCTAGCAATTTCTAGAAAACCTTCCGTAAAAGTGATGATAATCTGCTGCTTTCAACTACTGAATGTTAGTCCCTTCCACAGAAAAAAAACAACTAAGACTAAGTCTTAACAACTAAGTTATAACCGATAATACAAATGCCGATATCAAAATATTAAAAATGGAAGAAAAAAAACTGCAATGTTATGAGAAGAATGTTTTGGAGCAATGAGATACCTCTTCAGTCTGCGAAGGACTGACTCGTGTCATCGGGGAGGCCTGCGGGGTCCTGAGCTGACTGCCGCTGCTCTCAGCCGCCAGGTCTCTGTGGACGGACAGCGTGTGGTTCTGGAGCTCAACCTCGGACTCAAACTTCACGTTGCAGCTGGAGCACCGGGTCTTCGAGGAGGCGGCCTTGCTCTTGCTGTCGCCGGGGCTGAGCGTTTCTCCTTGACCTCCCACGCCCAACACTTGCTGCTTGCTCCCATTCAAAGTAGGGCTGGCACTTTTGCTGCCACTCACACACAAGGCGCAGAGTCCATAAGGGAGCCCGTTGATGTCTAGCTTGACCAAGTCCTGCTTGGATCGGAACTCCTTCAGACAAGAAGCGCACTTGTACAGTTTCTGGGGATGCTGGATGCGCCCAACAGGATGGTTGCTTGACATTGTCCCAGTCTTCTGCATGTGGAAAGTGCCATGAATCTTCAGCTCTAAAGTGGATGTTACAGTCTGCATGCAGACCACACATCGGAAGCCTGTGAGGGAGTTCCTCAGGTCCGGGTGCATTTGGCAGTGCTCCAAGAATTCCTCCTCACTCTGCAGGGGCATCTTGCATATACGACAGGTGCCCGTGTCCAGGCTCTTACTGTGCGTGACTTTATGCTCAGTGAGCGTGAGAAGTGACGGAAAGCGCTCACCACAAATGGGGCACATGTAGTGCTTGACCGGACCAAGGTGGGTCTGCATGTGTTCCCGCAGTCCACCTTCAGAGAAGAAGGTCCGAGAGCAGACATTGCACTTGTAATTTCCCTTGATCATCTCCGCCTTCTTCTTGACCAGAGCGCTTTCTCCGGGTCTGATGTTGTGGTCGCGCAGCTGGTGATTCTGGAGCAGGGAATCCATGGTGTAGGCTGCACCACAGATGTCACACCCGTACATGGGCTCCGAAGTGTCCACATCCTCTTCGCTGCCATCATGGCTGTTGTGAGATTCATGGCTATTGGCCAAAAGGCTCTGCAACTCTGCGTCATCCTTGGGAACCTGCTCAACACCAGCAGCGGAGCCATTCGTGCCACAGTTCTGAGCCTTGCCCTCAAAAACACAGTGCTTTTCACGCAGATGCTTCTCAAGTAATATGATGGCATGGAAGGCCTTGCTGCAAAACTTACAGTTGTATTTTTTGCTGTGGGTAGTAATGTGACACTGCAGTTCCACCTCAGTGCCAAAGGACTCCCCGCAGAAGATGCACTTGTGCACTTTGCCCTGGTTTTCCAGGTGGTTGTGCTTGACATGCAACTGCAGATCAGACTCGTGGCGAAAGTCCCAGTTGCAGGACGTGCAGCGATAGACTTTTTTCTCATTGCTGTGCTTTACAGCTAAGTGGAGCTGGATGGATACTTTGGAGTCAAAGACTTCTTGACAAAGTGTACAGCGAAAGAACACAAAGGTGTGCATGTCCAGCAAGTGCTTCTGAAGGTCATCCACAGATGTGAACTGCTTGTCACAGCTTTCACAGATGTAGTAGGTGGAAGTGATCATGAAGTGAATCGTCACGTGCTTTAGCAAGGACTCCTGGTTGGGAAATTCTTTGTTGCACTGTGGGCAAGTCAGCTTAGGCAGGACACTGTCTAAGTGCGTTTTCAGATGGGTCTGGAACATATCTAGGCTGGAATACTTGGCGCCACACTGATTGCAAATAAATTCACTTGCTGACCGGGATGAGGAACCACTCTGTCCCATTTTAAGGGAGGCTTGGTCCATATTCACTGGAGACGATGGGCTCAGGGCTCTGCTTGATTTCTTCCCATTATTGATATAATTAAGCGCAAGGGGGATATTCTTGTGGTTCTCTTTTATATGTTTGTTCAGTTTCAGGATGCTGTTGAAGATGGGGGAATTGGTGCAGTATGAACAGGAGTACACCTCTACAATGGGATCCTTGGGAGTCCCAGCTATGGGCGAATCAAACCGCGTGTTCCCCCCATCACAGTGTGTCTGCCGGATGTGTTCCTCAAGGGTTGTCTCTGTGAGAAAGCCCATGAAGCACTGGGGGCAGAAGAAGGCATTGCTCTCTTTGGCAACTGGGCTGGCGAAGCCATGTGAGCAGCGGATGTGCTCCTGCAAAGCATTGAGGTCACCAAGTGCTTCAGGGCAAAAGTTGCATTGGAGAACTGCAGCTGCCATACCGCCAAGCAAGGCGCTATGGTCTTGGTTTTCATGGACCTGCTTGAGGTGCTCGTTCAAGTTGTAGAGAGACGGAAGTACCTCTAAGCAATACTGACAGGTGTGAGCTTGCTCCGGCTTGTCCAGGTGCATAGTCTTAAGGTGTATCTGTAGAACAGCAAGGCTAGAAAACACTTGCTTGTTACAGTATATGCAGCTGTAAGTAATTTTTGCTTGTTTAGAGGACAATACAGCAATGTCAGCTCCTTGCTGTGCTGCCCTTTTTCTTCCACGGGTTTTTGGCAATGGTGGGCCTACTTCTACCATAGTGGAGCTATCCACAGAGAGGTTTGAATCTGGTGTGGTACTAGAGACAGAGGTATAACCTACTGTCACTAAGGAGGGACTGTTGCTATGGTTACTAGATTCTGGCTGCTGGTGAACATCCATGTGGCTGTAGAGCTCTTCCACTGAGTGGAAATGCTCAGAGCAGATGGTGCACGTGTGGCCCTTCTTCTCTCTGTTGTGCACCTGGTCAATGTGGCTTAAAAGAGCAGTCTCCTCAGCAAAAAGTTCGTGGCAGTAAATACACTGAAGGGCGGCTCTTTCCTGAGGTGGAGAGCACTCTGGGTGGCACTCTGCGATATGTTTCTGCAACTCCTCCGGGACATCAAACCCCTCTTCGCACTGGCTGCACTTCTGGGTCTCTTTCAGTTTCCACTCCTCCATCCTGGACAAGGCCTGGGAGCCATCTTTGTTCCGCTCATGGACTTGCATGTGGCCGTGCAGGGAGCTGGAGGAGAGGAAGCCCCTGCGGCAGATGGCACATTTGTATGGCTTGTTGGAGGTGTGCGTTTTCAGGTGGATCTTCAGGTGGTCGCTGCGCGAGAAGGCCGCGTCGCACTCGCTGCAATGGTACTTCTTGTCCCCCGTGTGGAGCTTGATGTGCCGGTCGCGGCTGCGCTTGTGTTTGAACAGGCGGCTGCAGTAGGTACACTTGAACGGCAGCTTGTCGCTGTGGCTTTGCTCGTGATGCTTTAGGAAGCTGAGGCGGCTGAAGGACTTGTCACAGAACTGGCACGGGTAAGGTAGTCCGGGGCCTCCTTCCTCTTCCCCAAAGTCATAGCCGTCCCCGGGCGCTGGCGAGGTCTGGTCTTTGCTCGAAGGTGAGGATGCAGGCCAGGAACAAGAAGGGTCATCCTCAACATCAGCACCATCTAGAACAGGAACAAAATAACTGCACATGTAATTGCCATCAGGGAAAGTACATTGGAAAACCACACTGCTCTTGAACTCCCAACAGTTTGGCAGCTTGGATTACACTAAATAAGTAAAAAAATAAAGCATTGTGAATGTAGTAGAAGCCTATTACTTAGCGTATAGAATATTCGGTTTAGGAGAGCATACATTACGCATTAAACTGATGGATCCATCAAGCAGCGCTTTTAAACAGTTGAATTTCAATATCCCGCTTAAAGAATGTTTTTTTTTAAATAAAGCTTTTTCTCAAATTATCCTTGTATGTGGTCATGTAATGACTTAGCCAACTGAGACTAAGACTTCGTTGACAATTTCTACCTGCATTGCACAGAGAGCCTTAAGAGTGCTGCTCTGTGTGTGGTAAATTAGTTCACTTCTTTCAGAAAATGTCAAGAAACATCAAATAGAACTTAATAAGCAAACAGTTCTTTAGTTTTTCTTACTGGCTCAAACTTTTTTTTACCACTGTCAGGTGATAGTCCCCGGCTAAAGCTAAACTATCGTGACTTTCCGGTGTCACACTCTTAAAGCATTAGCAAATCTGCAAAAAAAATTTAGAGCTGACAGTTTTAAAAATTAATTTCTCAGTTTTAATTTTAGCTTTCATTTAAATGATGAATCAAAGAATTAAATATCTGAGATACATAGTAGTTCCAACTTAGGTATTTCACTAAACATAAGCTACGAAGCCATTAACATATGACGATAAAATGAAAATTTTAACACAGAGTTAAAGATAAACATCAGAACATATGAGGAGTTACAAATGAAAGGAGGCCACTCAGCTCAATTAATAGTGTTATAATTGACTATTTATAATTTGACTTACAGAATGTTTCGTACTACTCAGTTTGGATTGAATCTTTACTTGGATTTTCAATGTACTGTACATATGAACAATGAACGTCTACATAGGAACAATTTGTTTAACTCTAGACATTCAGGACAGTAACAGTCATCCACAAAATATTGTAAATGCAAAAACTGTTTGCTAAAATATAACACTGATCAAGGTGGTCAATCTTTTTGCTGTATGTTAACATTATAAATCCCAGAAAGCAATGGTCTCCTTGGTAGGTTTTCTTTTGTTTACACAAAAACGTTTCTTTTGTCTTCCCGTTCACACACTCACAGAAACAGCAACAAAAAAGGATGATTGTTATAACCTTAGCAGTTGTGTATTAATGTTTCATCCTACTTTCCGAAAAGTGTTTATCAGCATGAGCCAAGGGGCATTTCAGGTTAAAAAATCAGAGTTCATTAACAGCTTACGTGTGTTCTTTGGTGTCTCAGGACCTTATTAGAATAAAAGTGCCAATGCATTTCAATAACTTGCCAGGGTCTTATCTGCTTTTTGTTTTGCTGTTTCCCTTCTCTATTGTTCCAAAAAAAATTCCAGAATCCTACTGGCATTCAAGTCTTAAAGGAGAACTGCAGTCCCAATTTCTCAGATCTCTGTAACAAAATAAAAATCATTGACGTTATAGAAAAAAAATCTACTAAATCCGAGTTAAGCACAAAATCGGGAACTCTCTGAAAGTGCTGTATGGTCGCCATGTTGTCACAAACTCGCATTTGAGTTCCCACAAATTGTGACATGAAGTGGCCCTTCCAGCTCACTAGTCACTAGCCGTATTACATATAATGACTGATGTGATATGATGTATGAGTGAATAAATGCAGGATGTGCAGCAGACATTTCACCGCAGAAATTTTAAAACATGATCTGCATGCAGTGTTAACAAGTAAGTAGTATTTGTCGGCAAAACATCTCGAATTCAAAAGCAATATTTCTATAGGATTAAAAGAGCTGTATTCACAAGTCTGCTTCTTTACAATGTCATGGGGCCACATAGGTCACTGGAAGTTTTGTTGCCTCATTCTGAATCGCAGAACATGATGCTGCACATACCTGGAAATTTAGTCTATTTTGTGATGTAAATTGGAGGTTTTACAAGTTACTGTGTGCATCTTGCACTGTTTACCTTGCACTGTTTCCTTGCAATTCTTGCAAGAATTACCTTGCACTGTTTTTGTCCTGTTATATTTTCTCTGTTTGCGGAATTCGGCACAGTTTTGATTACTTGATTACATGTTATTTATGTTATTACATGTTGCTGTTATTGATATTGTGTTACTGTCTATTGTCTTATCTTCTGTCCTATTTATATACTGCACCTGAGTGACTAATGAGAAACACTTTTCATTATACTAAGCACCTGTGTAAGTTTAATGACAATAAAGTTTAACTGAATTGAATTGAATTGAATCTGACTTTTACTGCAGTTTGAAATGCACTGATCAATGCTGATTGTTTCTAACCATGAAATGTGAACAAAATGTCATAGTTCCCTTTAAGTTACCACTTTACTGTGAGGCTGAGGATCACAGTTTGGACTTTATGGTTGTAAAAAAGGAAAAGAACCAGAAAATGAAATGTTAGTGCTCGCTCCAAAGTTTTTTAAATCAAATGTAATTCTGATCCTTAATTCCATATGAAGAATTCTTCCATATATCATCTAATATCGTCTAATAAAAACATGTTAAAAACTACATGAATTAATTCAAAAGACGAGGATGCGAACAAGCCAGATATGTTGGTATTACTTTTATCACATAAAAGTAAAATAAAGCCCTACACTGCAAAATGTCTTCTGACAAGGGTTTGGTACTGGAGTTCAAATGTTTCAAATAAATAACTCTAATAAATTTATAATCCAAATTTGTTTAATAGGCAAAAACATTTCATGCAGCATTTGCCATAGAATAGCTGTACCTTATTACTACACTTCTCATTTAGAAAATGTATTTTTAATCATCACATCTAGCCTGCACTTTACAGAGGACTATTTAACTTAGTCTATGCACGATTGCAGCCTCCATGCAGAGATCTGCACTCCTGAAAGCGAACAACACTGATCCAGAGCCCAAGATAAGATGCATTTCCTTATGGAATAATGTGTGTTTGCTAATTATAAAGCTATTCTGTTGGTGCTGCTTCATTGGAATCTCTGAAGAAATTACTTGATGAGGCTCTTGGATCAATAAGCTTGTGAAAAACAGAGAAGCACAATGTGATGATGTCTCTCCATTTCAAACTCGTGACCAGTATGATTTGTTTTTGTCTATTTTGCTATGACCTTTTAGCCGACTTTTTTTCCCATCACTTAAGAAATATCTCTTCAGAATTATATGTTTTTTGTGAACATCTTTTCCTCAATAAAAATTGTACTGCGACAGGCATTATCACACAACAGTGAATAGTCATGTCAAAATCCTTCTGAGTTCTGCATTTTTATACACTTAACAAAAATAAGTCATTACCAATAAGCACACAGAAAAGACTTTCTATAGTGAAGAATTACCATCTTAGGATAATCTGACTCAATGTTTGCAACAGATTCACTAGAGGCACTGCATTATGGACATAAATGATGGATTCATCCTTTGATTATTGGTATTATAATACCAAAGACACTGCTGAAAAATGACTTACTGCTCTGCCTATACCATAGACGTAATCCACAACAGGACAAGTTGATCTTTATTTCAAATTTTTCTACAGTGATAAATTAAATTATTCACATGAGTCAAGAATTTGTTCAAGAGGATGCATAACAAATTTGAATCACACCTAAAAATTAACAAAACAAACCAGAGCAAGTTTTTAGGCATCTATGAAGTGAGTACTGTATCTCCTTATCTTTCCAGCTCCTACCTCACAAAACAGTGTAAGCAGTCTATATTCCACATCAACCGAAATTGAGGTCAAAACAAAAGACATAAAAGGACTTGCTAAAAAAACGTAGTTAAAAAACTTTTATAGCACTTTTATAGAAACAAAGACAAATGTAAATCATGTTTGCAAATAATTATAATATATCAAATAAAACTACAGAACGAGTTTAACATAACAAACAAAAACAGTGGGCTGTAACATTTTCAAAACTCTAAAAAGTGAGAACTACTCTTAGACAAAAGATCCTAAAAGGCTACTTTTTACCTCATTTAATTTATTATTTATTGCCTTTTTCTCACACACATGATGAAAGAAAAAGTGAAAGACAAGAAGTAATTATGCAGTTCAACCTTTGGTTAACTGCAATAGGGAGTGATTTTTTTTTAATTAAGAGCCGCAGGTTTTATGTGACACGTAAGGTTTATAGAGACTGCATAATAAACCTCTGAGCCAAACTCAAGTTTCAGCACAAGTTCAAAAGGTTGTGCACCACTTCTTCCTTCAGCAAAAGCTTCAGGGCTGAGAATTTCCTTACTTAAATAAAACTGATCCTTCCAAATGTGTAGAGACAAAACAAGTTTTGTACAACTGGAAACAGGAAAAACAGAGGGAAAACTCGATTTATTAGGCAGATAACAGAATAAAACACAGTCGAAAACAGAAAAAAGTACTACTTTTTTCCTCTTACCTGGAATGCTTGGATATGTCTGCATGTGCTATGTCTCTCTAGATTGTGTGAACGTTAGCAGCTGTACTAATATTTCACAACTCAGCAACCTACAGAATGCCCAAAGCCCTCTAAATATATGGTGATCTGTCTTTCAGGTAGAACGAATTTCGCTGCTCTTATCTGGCCAAGGCTTATCCACAGGAAACAGACGAGACTCCAGTCCTTCCCTGTACCTTGAAACTGTTGAAAACAGCGCTTCGATTGGACTGCCAGATGGCCACCAACCACCACACGACGCACTAAAAACAACCTGAATTCCACAGCTGTCTTCATGCCCATTTCAGACAATTGCATTACAGCCACAGCTTTTAAAAAAAAGAAATGCAGCCCTTGTGGACCTATTTCCTTAGCAGAACAGAAATGGTTACCCTTCACATTGCAGTGGGATGTGTGTGTCAGTGCATCCTCTTAGTAGAAAAAAAGGCACCCAATTAAGCACTACAAATATACAGATTATCTTATGCTTCATGTATTTAAAAGAAAAGGCC